ATTTACGATGTACGTTCTAGAATGTAGGACCTATGGTCTCGGATTTACGATGTACGTTCTAGGATTTAGCATCTACGATCTAGGATCTAGGATGTATGGTCTCGAAGTTGATGATTTTAGGGTTTAGGCTTCAGGCATATACGTTTCCAATGTTCACATTAAAAGGTGTATGTTTTCACAGTTAGCGACTTTATGAGTTTTAGGATTTAGAGGATTTTTTTTCTTTGTTTTTTTCTGCATGAGACATCGTTCGTCACTGCTACTCCTGCGTAGTGTTCCTGTGCTGTTCTTTGGTTTACCGTTCCTACATTCTATCCTCTCGTCGCATTTTTTTCTTTTTCTTCCTCTTTTCCGTGCGCCTTTTGCCCACTGCATCCCTACTATTCTGCTGCAACGCGCGTCTTGCGCTTCTCTAGATCTTAGCCGTCACCGCGTCCTCGTACACGAAATGTCTCCCAGCAACGTGGTCGCGTGTACGACGGATTCGACGAAGGATTGTTCGAGTGTAAGCAGGAGGAGGATTGTCCCCGCGTGAACGTATTCGATGACGTAGCCCAGTGTAAGAAGGAGGGAGATTGTCTCTCCGAGGACACGCGGCCGCGTACACCGCATTGTCGACGAGGTAGCCGAGTGTAAGAAAGGAGGAGAGATTGTCTCTCCGAGCAAACGCGTCGAGCAACGCGGCTCGAGTGTAAGAAGGATTCGACGAAGTGGCCGAGTGTAAGCAGGAGGCGCGATTGTCTCTCCGAGCACACGCGTCGACCAACGCGGCCACGTGCAACACGGCTTCGACGACGGATTGTCCGAGTGTAACACGGACGACACATTGTCTCTCCGAGCACACGCGGCCGGGTAAAGGCGATTGTCCGAGTGCACGTATTCGACGAAGTAGCCGCGTGACGCAAGCGTTGAAGGGAGAGGAGTTGACGGCGCGGAGTTGACGCACACCAGGTGACGGAGAAGGCGTTGACGGGAGACGGCGTTGACGGAGAGGCGTTGACGCAGACGGGGTGACCGACACGCGTTGACGGGAGAGACGTTGACGGAGACGGAGTGTGACGGACACGGGGTGACGGGAGAGGCGTTGACGGAGAACGGGGTGTGTGCCTATTTTTTTTTTTGTTGTTGTGTTATTGATCGGTGTGTAGTAGTACTAGTAGTAGTAGTAGTTGTTGTTGTACTTTTTTTTTTAAGAAGGGGAATAAAAAGTGGTCACTATGACAGCGACATATGACCGGCAGCTACAGGACTTCCTATGGTCCTGGGAGGATTATCTACGGACAAAGAAAATAACGGACGGAGGAAAGTATTGGGTAAGTTCCATTGTACACAAAATTCCGGAGGAACGAGAGTAGTGCACTCTGCACCGCGCACTACCTGTACGTGGGACATTGGAAGTGGTATGTGTGCGCATAGACTATTTATATAAGTGTCGTATACTGAACAACGTATTGTGCGGAAAGATATGGCACACGCAGAATGCATGCGTATGAAACGAATTATAGTTAAATGTAGACGAATTTCAGGGCAGAGCGCACAGAATGAATGCACAAGCACATACATGGATTCTACCACCCGCAGAAAAAATTAATGAAGGATGTTGACCGAATCTTCAGGGACGTAACACAGTCCATCAACCAACATAGCGGCAGCAATGCTGGTATATGTGGAAGTATATATACCGGACAGGGCCAGCACATGTGCAAGAGCAGGTGTATGGAAATTGCAAACCTTATGTTATATATACGAGGATATGATTACAAAGGGCAGACCGAAGGATGGCAGAAGAGGAACGTGAACAAACACTCACCGCAGCTATTTAGGGAATATTTAAAGTGTACACTGGCGACTGCGGTTTTACTACAGGTGTATGGGCAAACTAGTGACCATAAAGACATAATAACGAAGGTTCAGCAAGAAATGCGGAAAACGAATAATACAGGCAACATGCAATATGAGCCAGGGGTTTGTGAGAGTAGGGATTATGGGGACGTAATATTCGGATTACGTGGTATTGGACCAAGCATAAACACTAAGCTGCAGCACTGGAAGAGCGGTTTGGCAGGAGGCCAGGCAGGACGTGCACGCGTCACAACGCACACGTGCGCTTGGGCAGACCACGACGGGGAGGACAGTGAACAGAAGTGCAATGTACAGGACGGGGCGCCACCACAGACCTCTGAGCTCATGACAAAAATAAAGGCGTGGACGGATACTCCTACCTTTGGGCGAGTGAAGAAGGTCTTAGACAACATGCAGAAAGAAGAAGCGTCCAAGGGCAAATGTGAACTGCACAAGAAGATAAAGGCACAGGTCCAGGCAGTGAAGAACACAGCGGAAAAGCGGGATGAAGCCACTCTGAGAAAAGAGGCACCGAAAAAAACAGTGACCACCCCCGCAGTCCAAGACTCCGGTGCGAAGTTCAACGTAGCCGCACCAGCGCCAAGACCACCGACAGGCAGCAACGGACCCGCCAAACCCGCCCCGGCCACACCACCCGGGAAAGACGGAAAGCAGTAGTGGCGAAACCGGCATCACCACCGTCATCGGGAAGTGGCACCACGACGACACCATCTAGGAGTGGTCGTAGTGGAGGGACCACACGCAGTGCAGCTACTGGTGCAGGAATAGTGAATAAGGGGGATACGCAAGCGGCGACAGATTTTGTAGTGAAAGTTCTAGTGAGTTATATAACGCGTAGGAAAATACCCGGGAATGATAGGGATAGGAAGTTTTACGTAAGTTCATAAACGAGGAAGATGCAGGACAAAGTGCAGGAGGGATATGTTCATATGATAACGCAGAATGGGAGGAATTCTTAAATAGGATATATATGGGAGCAGTGTGTATTGGACTAATAGTTGACAGAAGACAAAACAGAACAACATATGTTAAGGAGCACCATGTATTTTAAGGAGTGCGTAAGAAATGTAACAAAAAATAGAAAACGGAACGAACATGTATATGTTTATAACTATATGGTTATTGCGCCATGCAGGGCAAATTCTGGCGAGACATGAAGACTGTGTACGCAGAATTTGTGAAACATATGGAAAAAACAGATAGTGAACGCACATATGGAGCACTGTGTCAGGAGGCTGCACAGCCTCAGCATCCGGAACACATGTTACAGGGTGACCGTGTGGTATGTGAGTTTATGTTGCGCGCGTTGCTTTTTAAGCATGGGCTCCATGTGCCTGGCGCAGGCAGGAGTGTGCAGGGGACTGCAGAACAGGTAACACAAACGCAACGATATATGACGTGCATGATAGTGAATGTATTTATGCATGATATATTGGGTGCAAATTGCCTAGACACCACGGGTGCAGGGTATGCAGAAAAAGCTATATATGCATTATTGAACGCCCACCCTTGGTTCCACGACAATGCTACGTGTGACGGTGTAGACTTCGACAAGACCAACGTAGCCGGGGGTAACTTAAGGAACACAATAAGAGACTGGATAAAGAAGGAAAAGATAAAGTGGGGCGATACAGAAGCTGCAGGAATATTAAACAGTAGGTGTAAACAGTGGAGGCAAGAAGGACAGGGAGACATGAAGAAGGAAGAAGCTAAGGACATGAAGGCCAACATACGGGACACAGTGAACGAGGTGACGAGGAGTATAGACGACGATAGAACAGAAATACGCGCCAAGGTGGACAAAAGGATGACAGAGCTAGAACACGCAAATAACAGTAGTGGAACGGGAGAAGCAGGGCTAGGTAAAGCGGCACGACCTCCTGCCGATGCCGCGGCAACACCACAGCAACCGGCAGGTAAGACCAATGAGAGAAAGCACACATACGAAAACGCGGCCCGCATGTAAACCGCACGAATATGGATGCCGCCACAAACGCAACGGCCACAACAACACGCGACGGAACAGCACGGCACACGACTTCGTTGACGTTGAGCACAGCGGCCACGGCGGCAGCGGTAGCGGCGATGAGTGTGTAGCGACGGCCAGTGTAGACGAGCGTACCGTGCAGCGCAGTGAAGCGGTGGTCACGACGGCAGCGCTAGCAGGGACGAGGATTATTGGAGTATACGAACTTATGGTATACATAGAAGTGGGATTTATGCATATGAGACACAGGAGAGAGTAATTTAGGAGACAGTGCAATTTGGGGACAGTGCTAGCGATTTAGAAAAAGAGGCAACAAGGCATCAGTCGGCAGGACAGCTTGCGCCTGCCGTGTCGAGTCAAAGGTATCGAGTTCGTCCAATTGGTAACTGATACGTGCGAAATTTTCCAATATACCAACTATAGACCATAGTGTACTATAGAGGGAAAGGCATAAATGAAGGATGCAGTCGGCCTCTTCCCAGGTAATTAGCATATTCTACAGGGGCACAACCCCCCCGAGTGCTTGAGTCCAGTGAAAACCATTCCGCAAAATACTACTTTTGCCTGTACAGGGAAACGTTCCATGCAGAACACTAGCTAAGAACAATTTGGTGTTGATTGTGCGCATCCATATATATGCATCCTTGTCACTGCACAAATACCTTTAGTACGGAATAAACAGGAGCAACATTTGTGAAATCTACGCTGCTTATGTATTCTTCAGGAAAGCAGATGCGGAAAAGATATGCAAATTGTTCTATAATTATAAATGTTAAGATATGACTATGTCACAGTTTGCACGTAATACTATATAGTTTTCTTTATATACGTATAATCGTCCAATATAATTGGTAGTGCCCCTTAATCCTATAACAATAAATATAATATTTGTGCACTGAAACGTTAATAACATGAACCTTGAAACTTATATCCACGAACACTAAACGTGGAACCTTAAACCATAACCACCACGAACCTTAAACCCTCAAACCTGAACGCGAATTTCTAAACCCTAATCTTAGATCCCATGAACCTATGAATCTGTACTTCAACTACATATGCTTCTAACATGATTCTACAACAAGGATGTTGTTCAAGTAGAACAATATTTCCTCCATAATTTGTTCATGAATAAATTAGAACACCGCGCTGCACAGTTATAGCGTACAGTACATCATATACGTCCTTATCGAAAAAATCCTATCCGTTGTATCTTCCTATTTTCTTAACAACATCGATCAGGTCTTATGTGTTTACAATTATTCTAACGTTATAATTTGGCTGACATTATGGAACGGCTACATATAATTTAAATTCATTTACAGTTTTAAAAGAATACTAAGCAGCGTCATACGATTAAACTGAATTTTCCCTGAATCAAATTATGAATGTGAGAACAAGGTGCAGGCAGAATTAATGCACACCATTTAATTAGTCTTTACGCCGTGAACCACTCATATATATATATTTAAGAAAAACAAAAAGAACCGAAAACACAGGTAAAGGCAAAGGGCAAACATTAAGGAATCACATAAACCCAGTTTGATTTATTTTAACCATAAAGCACATTATAACTTATTCACTACTCCATACTACATGTAATTGACAAAACTATTGTTTCTCATTTCAAGAAGAGTATCGTATATATATATTAAAAAAAATATACTCATATCATTCATTTCCTCGTCGATGTTCATGTGCATCCTCATTAAAACTTAAAATGCGCGTAATTTTTAGCAGCAGAGCTCAGAGAAAAACTAACGCACCCACTTACCGAGAAAACACGTGTTTATTCTGGACGATATGATCTTATAGACCCCCTTATCCCCTTTTTATTACGTTTCTAATAATAAAACATATAAGAACAAACGTACAAATGTTATATATATAATATTAAGCTTAATATTAAAACAAAAATAATAAAATAACGGCACGCTGTACAAAAACTCCGCTGTACATGTGCATTATTCTTAATTGTAGCGCTCACTAAATATTTATATTACTTTAATCCCTATTATAAATAATCTTTGAAGTGCGGGCT